GGAAGGAAGGAAGGAAGGAAGGAAGGAAGGAAGGAAGGAAGGAAGGAAGGAAGGGCAATAACAATTAGATGCTGCTTCCTAATGCTTTCCAGCCCTCTCTAAGCAGTTTACAGAGTCAGCCTCTTGCCCCCCAACAATCTGGGTCCTCATTTTACCCACCTCGAAAGGATGGAAAGCTGAGTCAGCAACTTGTAAGCCCAGGGTTCTCTTTCTGCAGCCTTCAGACATGATCTTCCTTAGAGGACCCAGCTTCTCACCATTCTCAAGTGGTAAATATGCAGGTAGAGTCGAGGAAGCCCTGACAGAAGCTCGAATTTCAAACTCCTACCATAATTCAGTTCCACCTGTCCGGGGAGTCCATGTAGATTCCCAGTCTTAAGGGTCTATGACAATTCACTGCGGCTAACTCGTCACAGCCAACTTGCCATAGAACAAGTTTCTGTGGCCAACTCACTGCAGGACAAAGAATTACACTGATATCAGAGAAATGGTGGAATAGAATCATTAAAGAAAGGTCTAGAGAAACTCTTAGTCATCCAGGTCATGGTTGTCCCAAAAGTGCTTTTTTTTTTCAAGAGGCAACTGGACTTTCTGGGGTTTTTTTGAAGACATTTTGCTTTTCACCCAAGAAGCTTCTTCAGCTTCTTTCATAAACTTCTTCTGCTCTCAGAGCTGAAGAAGCTTCTCGGATGAGAAGCGAAATGACTTCAAAGAAAAACCAGAAAGTCCAGTTGCCTCTTGAAAAAAAAAAAAAGCACTTTTGGGACACTAAAGAAAGGATGCAAAAGGAGGGATGAAATGAAATCTGAATAACAAAAAAGAAAATATTTTAAATCTATTTTACATAAATTGAATTGATAAATTATCCTGTGCCGAATTGTCCTACAGCGAGTTGGCTGTGGTGAGTTGTTCCTGGAGAGTTGGCCATGGTGAGGTAGCCACAGTGAGTTGTCCATGGAGAGGTGGCCATGGACAGTTGGCCATGGAGAATTGGTCATGGAGAATTGGTCATGGAGAGGTGGCTATGGTGAGATAGCCACAATGAGTTGCTCATGGAAAGTTGGCCTTGGAGAGTTGGCCATGGTGAGGTGGCCATGGAGAGTTGCCCATGATGAGGTGGTCACAGTGAATTGGCCATGGGGAGTTGGCCATGGTGTGGTAGCCACAGTGAGTTGGCTCTGAGAAGTTGCCCCACTCCAAGTCTTAGCTACAAAAGATTACTTAGGGGATCTACTAAACGAGTATCGAGTTTTCTGAAAAGCGAAGAGGCTAGATAGGCCTGGGATCCTGTTCGCATGAGGCAGCCAGGAGACGTCTCTTGTTTCTGAAAACCTTCCCATCTTCCAGAGTGAATACATTGCAGAACGGGACAAGCGACTCACTTGGATGTCGGGTTTTTCAGGATCGTCTGGTGAGTCCTCTTCCAGATCTCCAGAAACCCTCAACCCCCTACATTTCTTAGTTGAACCTCAGGTCGTCAGGCATCAAATTAGCAGCTGTTCTGAATGCCCATCGGCGATCAAGTCCTTGACTTACAACAGTTCATGTAGAGACGGTTCCAAGTTGCCACGGCACTGAAAAATAAGCGACTTATGGCCATTTTTCACACTTACAACCATTGCAGCATCCCCACGATCACGTGAATCAAAATTCAGGCACCTGGCAATGGACTCCTATTTATGATGGTCGCAACGTCCCAGGTTCACATGATCATCTTTTGCGACCTTCTGATAAAGCCAAGACAATGGGGAAGCCAGATTCACTTAACAATGGGGTTACTAGCTTCAAAACTGCAGTGATTCACTTAACAACTGTGGCAAGACAGATTGTAAAATGAAGCAAAATTCACTTAAGTTTCACTTAGAACCAAAATTTTGGGCTCAGTTGTGGTCGTAATTTGAGGACTACCTGTAGGAACTATGAACTAGGCAAAAAATAATGAAGTATAATCCATACATCCCACCCTAAACATCTTTCCCATTGTAACTTCCTTGAAAATAGTACAGTGGCACCTCAGGGCAAGGCTGAGTAACCTGGATCAGGCGTCACCAACCTTTTGGACCTCAGAGACCACCAAATTCATAATTTTAAATCCCGCCGACCAGAAACCCTGGGAAAATCCCCCCAAAAAAAGTCTGCAGGAAAATTCCCCACCCCATTTTCCTACCGATCGATCATTCTTTATTTGGGATCACAGGATACCGTCTCCAGCTCTGTTCTCAGGGCGGCGGTGGGCGGGGGGAGAGACTTTTGGCTTCATGCAAGGAAAGCAGCAGAAGCAGCAGAAGTCTTTCCTTCTCTCCCCCCAAATCCGCCAGAAATGAGTCTTTGTGAGGCTTGTTGCAGCCTCTTGGAGCAGGAGGCCTTGCAGGGTCCCAAGGACTCATTTCTGGTGGAGTTTGGGGGAGAGAAAGAAAGACTGTTGCTGCTTTCCTTGCATGCAGCCAAAAGCAGAAGAAGAAAGAAGCGGAAAGAATCAGCCTGGTGGCCAGGCCAGGCACATGGGGTGAGTGGGGCAAGTTCCCCCCCTCCACCCTTTCCCCCCTCCCCTCACTATCTTGTGGTGCTCGCAATGCAAGCGACACAAGCCTTGTGTTCCCGCGGGCCATGTGGGCGGCGCAGCCTTGTGTTCCCACGCAGTACCGATTAACTGCTTTGAGGGTGACATTTCTCTGCAGACCACCAAAATTTTCTTTTGGACCACCAGTGGTCCCCAGCCCACTGGTTGGCAACCACAGACCTAGATCATATTTTTTTCTGTGTGGAATACACAAAAGCCACTTTTGCTGGGCTTACAATGGCTCATCTCCAGTCCCGGGATAAATGCAACGTCAGATCACTCCACCCCGTGGGTGAATTATGACTATGGTTAAGAAAGAAAAAACAAAAAAGAACAAATGTCTGTATGCAAAATAATAAAAATGAAAGGCATTTTTTTTCTTACTGAATCTTGCCTCAGCAGAACTGCAGGGCTACGGCTCTATTTAATGGCTTCAAGATGCTTAAATGTGTTAGATGCACTCCCATTTTGAGCACTCTCTAAAAAGCAAACAAAAAGGGAGATAAACCTCCCACGTGTAATTTCCCACATCTGTCGCCCAATCGCTGAACCTAGAAATGTATGTAAACTAAAAATGTCTCCACAGCTTTCTCTAGTCATCTGACCTTAGCAGATTTCAGAAAAGGCACACTTGAGATTTTAAAAAAACCTCATGCGTCGCATTAATTGGCAAAATATTTTCACCTTGCTTGGAAGATGGATTTCAGAGAGACTAATACTTACTCTCAGTTTAAACCTAAACATCTTAATCAGTGGTGGAATTCAAAAAAATTTATGACTGGTTCTGTAGGCATGGCTTGGTGGGCGTCCCCACCCCACTAACCTGCTTTCCAGCTCTGTTCTCCTGTGCAGGGCAACCAAAGAAGACCCAGCCGATCACCTGGGACTCAATGGGAGTCAGAGAATAGATGGGGGCAGGGTCAGTCCGAGGTGGGATTTGCCGGTTCTCTGAACTGCTCAAAATTTCCACTACCGGCCCAAAATTGGAAGAGTGGTAAAAATACCGATAGAGGGAAAAATAATTGAAAAAATATTTGAATGTGGAGAAATGAATAGATTGACGCTAGAAATTAAAGAAAAAGAAGAAACTGGATATTACAGGGTATGGAATATGTTTTATCAATGGATAGAGAATAGAACAACCTAAATAAGATTTGATGTATTTATAGAGCAATTAGAGAAATTTAAGCAAAGTTATAACATGTGATATTATTATGTATATGGGAATATATATGGGAACATTGATGTATTGTTAGATTTGATCAGAAGAATATCATTTATAATGTTTAAATAATTGAAATATGTAGCCAAGTCGACGCACGATTGAAATGGAATGATTGTTTTCTATGAAAACAATTAAAACGTTATTTTTTAAAAAAACTCCGCTACCAGTTCTCCAGAACTGGTCTGAACCGGCTGAATATCACCTCTGATCTTAACTTATAATAAAGATTCACATGCTATGAAGCCCATGCAGTGTGTCCCTTCATCACCAAGCAGAAAATGACATCCTGGGAAAACAGCAGTGAAAACTAAACTTAAGAAGAAGTTGTTTTCCAAATAGATTTTGTCTTCTCAGCCCCTCTGATTTTTAGCATTTCATCCTTAGGGACTGGCGTGATCACCCTGCAGAAAGCTGTTCTCTTCACGGACAGCCGGTACTGGATCCAGGCGGAGCGTCAGATGGACTGCAATTGGGAGCTGCAGAAATCAGGTATGTCCTTGTCTTAATTTTATCTTAGAGCTCCACGTTCTCTTTTCAGCTCCAGTGCTGCCAAACTATCTTTTAGCCAGGTAAGCAATGTCCTAAAGTAATGTTCCTCAGCTGGGCAACTTTAAAATGAATTGAACAGAATAACAGAGTTGGAAGGGACCTTGGAGGTCTTCTAGTCCAACCCCATGCTTAGGCAGGAAACCCTATACTACTTCAGACAAATGGTTATCCAATCTCTTCTTTAAAAACTTCCAGTGTTGGAGCATTTACAACTTTTGGAGGCAAGTTGTTCCACTGGTTAATTATTCTCACTATCAGGAAAACTCTCCTTAGTTCTAGGTTGCTTCTCTCCTTGATTAGTTTCCACCCATTGCTTCCTGTCCTGCCCTCAGGTGCTTTGGAGAATAGCTTGACTCCCTCTTCTTTGGGGCAGCCCCTGAGAGATTGGAAGACTGCTATCATGTCTGCCCTAGTCTTTCTTTTAATTAAACCAGACATACCCAGTTCCTGCAAATCTTCTTCATATGTTTTAGCCTCCAGTCCCCTAATCATCTTTGTTGCTCTTCTCCGCACTCTTTCTAGAGTCTCGACATCTTTTTTACATCATGGTGACCAAAACTGGATGCAGTATTCCAGGGGTGGCCTTACCAAGGCATTATAATGTATTGATTTCACCTCCCAGAATTCCCTAGCCAGCTAGAGAATTCTGGGAGTTGAAATCCACACACGTTAAAGATGCCAATCCCACCATCCTAAAGCAATCTTCTCCAAACTTCCTTGCTCCAAATGTGTTGGGACCACAACTCTCAGAATCTCCCAGCCAGAAGAGCATGTGAACTGGGTACCATTTGAGTTGCTGAGCTTGAGTTGCTGTGGGGTAGGGCAAGAAAGAGAATCCTAAGATGCTTTATTATAACCTAGGACTAGCTGGTTGGTTCCAATACAAAATGTGTCTCTGAAGGCATGAAGAACCAGGAACTATTGCAGAAGCTGCCGGACAACAATCCCCATGTCTTCTTACCGTCCCTTCTTACTAGGGGATTCTGAGAGTTGTGATCACAACACATCTGGGAAAAGGTAGCTTGGAGAAGAAGTTGAGCTGCTTCACAGTGGGTTGGTTACAGTGAGTTCCCCGAAGCGAGTTGGCCATGGTGAGGTGGCCACAGCGAGTTGGCTGTGGCAAGTTATCCCATTCCAATTTTCCAATCCTTCCCTGAAAGTCCTAGAAATCAATCTTGGGTCTTCTGCTTACTCAGAAAGTGCTCAGCCACTGTTCCATGGTCCTTCCTACAATTGATTCACAGGCTTGCTCTTATGACCCCTGAAATGGCACTCAGCTCCTGCCATGTTGGTCCTGTTGTGGCCCCCCCGGCGGCTGGCAGAGCTGGCAGAAGAGTTGGACAGTGAGGAGGTTGGGGAGGAACCTGGGCCAGTCCTAGAGGCTGAAGAAGACTTGTACGAGGGCTCTGTGTCAGAGGCAGAGATGGGGCCAGGACAGTCCGGCAGTTGTCAGTTGCCTTCGGATCAGACAGCAGTGAGGCGGCGGAGTAGCTGGAGCTGGTTCCCAGCTTGCGGATGCACAGAGCTGCCAAAAGGAAAGAACAATTACAAACTCAGGGTCAAAGTGGGAGTAAGCAGGTCCACAGGTGAACAATGAATGGCCCCTCCCATAAGGATTAAAAGAGGAGCAAAAGGGGAGAGGGCTTTTGCAGGAACCAATTCATTGTTCATTCCATCAATGTGAAGAGATTCAGCTCCTAGAGACTCTGTGCTAAGCCCTTCCTTGTCAACACTGCATTTGGAAATATTTACCAGGCAACTTTCCAAGATAGAAAAGGTTTGAGCTCCTAATTATACCCTTGAAAGAAGGCTAGGCCGTTGGCTGAATATAAATGCAAGAAATTCACATTTGTTTAATAAAAGTATTCGGTGGGGACCAAGAGTCTGCTTAGTGCTTTTTGGGGAAGCCCAGGGCAGAACAGGTCCATGCCTGCACAACCTAGTCCTGCTTCTAATTCAGAGAAAGAGGCATGGGTGCCTGATGTCTTCTCTTTTGCAGTGTGGGTCACCGCTATTGGACAATGGCTACTCAATGAAGTTCCTGCTGGGGAAACCGTTGGATTGGACCCCTTCCTCTTTTCTGTCGGTATGGAGCATCTTTGGAGTTTCTCGGGCACATCAGGACAGGCTCAAGAAGGAGGTGGTTGGTTCCCCCAAGGAAGACGAGGCTACCTCACTGCCCTGAATTAGCCCTGAAATGCTGAAATGCCAGCTGTTGTGATGTCCCGCATCTCCCATTACAGTCTCCTAGCTGACAACAGCCGTTCTGCTGTGATGTTTCAAGATCTCTCCTTCCCATTGTCTTTCCCTAGACACTTGGGACAGCTATCACCAGATCCTGGAAGATGCCAATAGGATCTTGAAAATGCCTGAAGTGAACCTGGTGGACCTCGTGTGGGGCAGCGAGCGGCTTCCTCCGCCTACCAACACAATCTATCGCCTTACAGATGACTTCATTGGTATGTTTGGGGTCCAAGGTGCCAAGTGGAGATTGGTGGGAAGGTTGGGCCACTTTGTCTGGAGACAAAGGATGTTTGTAGTTCAATATTTGTCTGGCACGAAGGATCCGGAACATTCGTTAAGTTGTGGCACAGAAGATTTATTCAAGTCTATGCACAAGAGTCTAGTCAATTAAAATTCAGTAATAAATTGGCGGCAGATAAGGGTCAACAAAATTCAAAAGAAGTTGGATTTGGAGTTGGACTTGGATCGTTTATGGCAACGTAAGGAATCTAAGCTGATGACATATTTAACTCCTCCAACACCAACACCACCCCAGCTCTGTCTGCTCTTCTGCAATATTTCTGGAAGGAACTCAGTTTGAGAAAGGTAGTCTTACGGCAATCCTCCTCACCTTAAATTGGCTACCTAGCAGTTCTGCTGTTTAATAGAAGCAGCACTTCAGGCCATAAGACAAAGGTATTGTTTTTCTTGCTCTCTTGGGCCAGACTAGTTGCTCTTTTATTGTGAAGGCCAGGAGATTGGCATTTTCATCAGTCAGACCTCCCACTCCTATGACCTTTCCTTCCTTTAGGAAGTACCTGGCAAGAGAAGGTTGCCCACGCTCGGTCGCAGATGGAGCAACACAGCAAGGAGCCCACAGCAATTTTGCTCTCTGGTCTTGAGGAGACGGCATGTAAGATGGCTAATATTTAACAGGCATCTTTTTATACCTTTCTCTCCTAGATCCCTCCTTCTCTCTCCCTCCCTCTCTCCCTCCCTCTCTCCTCCCTCTCCCTCTCATTCTATCTATCATCTATCTAGATATGTATCTGTCTATCGTAGATATCTATCTAGATATGTATCTGTCTATCTGTCTATCTAGATATGTATGTCTATCTGTCTATCTAGATATGTATCTATCTAGACATGCATTTATCTATTTAGACATCTGTCTGTCTGTCTATATCTATCATCTATAGATATGTATCTGTCTATCTAGATATGTATCTGTCTGTCTATTTATCTATTTAGATATCTAGATATGTATGTATGCCTATCTAGACATGTATCTATCTAGATATGTATGTATGTATGCCTATCTAGATATGCATCTATCTAGATATCTGTCGATCTGCATCTACCTATCTATCTATCATCTATCTAGATCATCTATCTCTATTTCTATCTCTATATCCATCAACTAGCTAGTTAGCTACTGTATCTCCAACCTTAATTTTATAAATATCTCAAGGCGTTGAACACCTACCTAATACTCCTCCCTCCTCCTTTGTTCTTCCCAATAACAACCGAAGTTGAGCCCAAAGTCACAAGATACTTTCATGTCTAAGTTTGTACTAGAATTCATAGTGTCCTGGTTTCTAGCCTGTAAACACTAAGCAGTTTACAGAGTCAGCTTATTGCCCCCAACAATGTGAGCCCCTACTTGACCAACCTTGGAAGGACTGAAGGCTGAGTCAACCTAGTCAGTCAGAATCGAACTGCCAATCTGCAATACTGCGTTCCAACCACTGGGTGACCACATCTCTGCCCCGCATAGGAAAGATTCGGTCGTGTGTCTTGTTTCCTCATTACCCAAAAGCTCTAGTTATCTCTTCTTCCTGTCTTTGTCTCGATTTTTTCTTCCTGGCTCCCTGCGGTGGCCTTGGCTGCTTCCCTGTCCTTCTTCTGCTCTCCTCTCTTCCTTTAATGGCTTAACGGCTATCCTGGTTTAATGAGGGAGACATTACAGACTGTTTTTTTGTTCCCCCGTAGGGCTCTTCAATCTTCGAGGAGATGACATTCCTTACACCCCCGTCTTCTACGCTTACACTCTTCTCACCAAGACAGATATCAGGTACTTGATCTCCCTGCAACAATTCAGACAACAGTCTGGTTCCCATCGTAAGTGGGAGCTTCCGCAAATCGTGGCCAGAGTCCAACTGAGTGGTCAGCCACCCCCTTTCCATTTCTTTCCTTTCCCTTCCCATTCTGTTTTTCTTTTGGCTTTCCATCTCTACCCCCACCGATGCTCAGACATCTTTGGTCTGTCTTTAGGAGAGAGAATCGCCTTCTTTATCTTCCCATGGTTTTGCAAAGACTTTTTTGCTCCCATGGGTTCTCTTAAGATCCCTTTTCTGGGCAGAGTCATTTGGGTGGCATACGCTGGAGTTGCTGAGGTCCTGGTAATCATCTCTGCAGTTCTTGAGGAAAATAGAGGAACTAAGGAAGCCCTTGGTACACATCTCCTGCATCCAGGAGATGCGGGAGAATCCAGCTATCATCCAGTTTTAGGGCTTAGAGCAAGGATGTCCAACCTCATCAACTTTAAGACTTGTGGACCTCAACTCCCAGAATTGTCCATGCTGGCTGGAGAATCCTGGGAGTTGAAGTCCACAGGTCTTTGTTGTGACCAAGGCTTCTGAGACCATCATTATGCACAAGCTTATTTTAAAAACAAGTCTTGTTTTATTGCAGTACTGGGAATTATTTTTATTCCCAGCCAGTAATTAATATCAAACAGTCCCTCAAGATAAGCACCCACTTTGCTTTCCTGTGAAATGCTGCCAATAGCAGAAGTGTCAAATAAACTAGAACAAAAACCAACCGAAGTACAAAGAGCTTCAAGAATGAGTCTGAACCGAACGAACGACTTTGCTTCCTGCAAAGATTTCATCATCTTTGCATTTCCTTTATCCCTTATGGGAGGGGCAATCACCTCCAAGCCTTACTCCCAAGTCACCCCTTTTGCCTCAGCTGCTCTCACCTTCTAGCAGTTCTGCGCACTGGGAACAGGCTTCCCTGGTTCCTCTGCCTCGCTCCTGCCAGGCTCTGGAGGTTCCGGAGTCAGCACACAACTCCCAGATGGCCCTGGCCCCATCTCTGCATCAAACACAGGACCCTCGTCCAAGTCCTCTCCAGATTTCCAGATTGGTCCCTGTACTTCCCCACTGTCCGATTCTGCTGCCAGCTACACCAGCTGCCAGTAAACCACAACAGGAAGGCCTTGCTACACATTTGAAAGCCTTGTAAGATCTAGGAGAACATCATGAGGCTGTCCAGTTTTAGGACTTAGAGCAGGGATGTCCAACCTTGTCAACTTTAAGACTTGTGGACCTCGAGACAAACAAAAAAACCAATAAAAATTATTTTTAAAAAGTCTTGTGGACCTCAACTCCCAGAATTGCCCACGCTGGCTGGAGAATACTGGGAGTTGAAGTCCACAGGTCTTAAAGTTGACAAGGTTGGACACCAGCGGTTTGGACCCCCAAGTTAAATGTTGCATCCCTCTGTTAAAACAACTTAGGATTGCATTAGCTTTTTTGGCTGCTGCTGCACATGGCTGACTCATATTTAGCTGGTTGTCCACTAGGACTCCAAGATCCCTCTCACAGTTCCTGCTATTGAGCCTGGTTTCACCCCAGTCTGTATGTGTCCTTTGGGTTTTTCTTGCCTAAATGTAGGGCTTTATTTTTCTCTACACTGAATTTCATTTTGTTAGATAGGGCCCAGTGTTGTAGTCTGTCAAGATCCAGCTGGATCTTGAGCCTATCTTCTTGGGTATTAGCTATTCCTGCCAGTGTAGTATCATCTGCAAATTTGGTAAGTTCCCCTTCTATTCTCTCATTGCAAATGGAATATAAGGACGTCAGGGCAAAGAGACTTTTGACCATTGGCAGCAACGTGGCATGTCCACATTTAGAGACAGCAAAAGGGTTGGTCTGTGTGCTTCCAAAGCCTCTTGGCTGGATTCCACAAAGGAATCCAAGTGCTAGCTGGATCTTTGAAACCAGCTGGTACTTTGAACCAGACTAGAACTCTGAACTGATGTGGCAAGATGAGGCTTATGTTCTTGAGGAAGAAATGGCTTACAGGGCTTGTAAAATAAAATTTAAAAAATCATGGCGAGAATGGGAAAAGAGCCATGTTTATATGGAGCGAACTTTGTGTGGTTGAAAGCAAGCATACATCTTGCATTTGAATTCACAGGCACACAAAGGCAGAGGGAAGACTTCGGGTTGTGAAAAGCCTGCAGTGGGTCTGCCTCACAGCTCTTTGTGGTCAAATAACTTCACTGTTTAGGATGGCGCAGATGGGGAGGTTTTAAAATAAATGAATGGTTCCACCGTCGTTCGTGTTATATTTGTATATATTTTCGGCAATCAGCAAAACAAATGCGAGGGAAGAGGTCAACCTGATGTCCTCCAGATGTCTTGCACTAAAGTTCCAAGAGCCTTTGAACATATGGGAATTGTAGTTCAGCGTATCTGGAACAGAGCGAGTTGAAGAAAGCTGACTTAAGCCTTTTTCGTCGTTGCTTGGAGAATAGTTGTGGAAATGCCTTTGAACCCCAGGAGAAGCCCATTCTTAGTCGTTGGTCAGTGGGTTGAAAGCTGCAAGAAGTGGGCTGAAATCTTGGCAGGGCCAAAATTCAGTGGGTTGACGTTATGTCAGTCACCAGCTCTTAACCGTGCCTGATTGGCAAAGAGGCTACGGGGCTAAAAGAAGGAAGCATGGCCAGGACATGCGACTCTCCAACCCCATGGGACAAGAGTGGGGTGAACAGGGATACTTCTAGTGGGATCGGAGCTGTCCTACGAACGCTGAACCACAACTCCCAGCAGCCTAGCCAGCATGGCCAATGGGAAGGATGCCGGGAGATGTAGCTGCCCAACATTTGGAAAGAATAGAATAGAATAGAATAGAATAGAATAGAATAGAATAGAATAGAATAGAATAGAATGGAATGGAATGGAATGGAATGGAATGGAATGGAATGGAATGGAACAGAATAGAATGCTGGAATGAAGAATAGAATAGAAGAATAGAATAGAATAGAATAGAATAGAATAGAATAGAATAGAATAGAATAGAATAGAATAGAATAGAATAGGGAATAGAATAGAATAGAATAGAACAGAACAAAACAGAATAGGGAATAGAATAGAACAGAACAGAACAGAACAGAATAGAATAAGGAACAGAACAGAACAGAACAGAACAGAACAGAATAGAATAGAATAGAATAGAATAGAATAGAATAGAATAGAATAGAATAGAATAGAATAGAATTCTTTTATTGGCCAAGTGTGATTGAACACACAAGAAATTTGTCTTGGTGCAAATGCTCTCAGTATACATAAAAGAAAAGATACATTCATCAAGAGTCAAGAATCATAAGGTGCAACAATAATAGTCATAGGGTCTAATAAACAATCAAATCATACTAGGAAACAGCAAATATAGGCTACATTTTCCCCATTAAACTCATTTCCAATGGGACCTCTCAAGTTTCCTTTGATTTGTCCCCAGTCTGTTTGTGAACCGCAGTCGGCTGAGCCCCGAAGCCCTCCAGATGTTGACCGCAGGATGTCCGGGATCTCTGTGTGTGAAGGTGGAAGACTACGGCCGGATAGGTGACAGCGTGAGAAAATATGCCCACCAAGATGGCGTGATGATCTGGATCGGAACAGAATACACAACTCTGGGGCTTTACAAGGAGATCCCTCAAGTAAGAGAAGAGAGATAAAGAAAGATAAGCTAATTCTTCTTCTTCCCCCAACTATCCTAATCTCTTATTTCTCCCACTATTATAAGGAGAATAGTATCTCCTAACCTCTCCCCACCGATGAGCTATCTCTTCTAACACCTGCAGTTAAGGAGAAACTTCCTAGCAGTGTGGGAAATGAACCAGTGGCTTGTCTTCAGAAATGGTGGGCGCTCCATCGCCGGAGACTTTTAAGAAGAGACTTGACAGTCACTTGTCTGAGAGGGTATAGGTTCTCCTGCTTGAGCAGGAGGCTGGACTAGAAGACCTCCAAGGTCCCTTCCAGCTCTATTCTATTCTATTCTATTCTATTCTATTCTATTCTATTCTATTCTATTCTGTTCTGTTCTGTTCTACTCTATTCTATATTCTAGTCTACTCTATATTCTATTCTATTCTATTGTACTCTATTCTATTGTACTCTATTCTATTCTATTCTATTCTATTCTACTCTACTCTACTCTACTCTATTCTATATTCTATTCTATTCTATTCTATTCTATTCTACTCTACTCTACTCTACTCTACTCTATTCTATATTCTATATTCTATTCTACTCTACTCTACTCTACTCTATATTCTATTCTATTCTATTCTATTCTATTCTATTCTATTCTACTCTACTCTACTCTACTCTACTCTACTCTACTCTACTCTTTTCTGTATTCTGTATTCTGTATTCTGTATTCTATTCTATTCTAATCTATTCTACTCTTATATTCTACTCTACTGTATTCTATTCTATATTCTATTCTATTCTACTTTATTCTACTCTATTGTATTCTACTCTATACCTGTTGAATCCAACAACTTAAAACCATTTTTAAAAGATCGGGATTTAAGCAGAAGCACATCATCATCTTAGAAGTTGTAAAACAAGGACAAAACAAATTTAGCAAGTAGAAGAGGATAACTATCAAATTCATGTCCATTATTACATCAGGCTATCAGCAATTTTAAAATAAATAAATAAAGAACTGGACCTGTGCTAACATTTGTACCAAGCTCCTAAGCGCAAAGCAAGGCCAATGTAATTCTTAATTTCTAGAAAAGCGGGGGGGGGGGGGGGAATAAATGCTTGATTTCCAAGTGAGGAGGGCTTTATTCCACTTCCTTTTTCCTCACTCTGATCCCTTACACCTTGAATCCTCCAGAATCATGACAAGGAAAGATATCTGTGCTGCTGTTCACTGAAAAAACTTTTAAAGATGAACTGCGAAGAAACAGAGGGCAGATTAATGTAACTGATCAATGGAATTTGCTGTCATGAGTGATACAGTTGGTTAATATTTCACCTCTGAATGAGCCTCCTGTAGTTCTGCTAAACTTTTCCCCAGTTTTTCTGACTTGAGTTTCTGGGGCAAACTCAGGCTCTGGGGACAAGCTAGTACTTTTTTCTCCTCTCTATCCCACATGAAGTTCTGATAGAGAGGAACATTGCAGATCTTCTGAGATTCGTGCAGCAGCAAAAAAAACTCTTGCAGGAAGTGTCCCATCCCAGAATAAACCTGACCTGAAATGAAATACTCCAACAGCAATAGCACTCAGACTTATATACCGCTTCATAGTGCTTTACAGCCCTCTCTAAGCAGTTTATAGAGTCAGCATATTGCCCCCAACAATCTGGGTCCTCATTTTACTGACCTTGGAAGGATGAAAGGCTGAGTCAACTTTGAGCCAGTCAGGATCGAACTACTGGCAGTGGGCAGAATTAACTATAGCAATAGCACTTAGACTTATATACTGCTTCACAGTGCTTTACAACCATCTCTAAAGAGTTTACAAAGTCAGCATATTCTTCCCAACAATCTGGCTCCTCATTTTACTTTACCCATCTTGGAAGGATGGAAGGCTGAGCCAACCTTTACCCTGGTCAGGATCGAACTGCTGGCAGTGGGAAGAGTCAGCCTGCAATACTGCATTTATGCTGTGATCACAGGAAAGGCTTGTTGCCAGTTGTGCATTTATAGGTGCATCGCTCAAGAAACTGCTATAATTCCCAAAGCGCTGTCTTAGGCCTATGAAATTTACCCTTGTAGTAGGCTGTATTGCTATTATCATCTTCTCTTTTCTCATCTTCTCATCTTTCCTACTATCTTCTCCTATTGGTATGAATTATGACTTGTTGGTTGTATCTTATGATTAATGATTGCTAACTATGAATTATGATCTATGACCTATTACTTGGTTGTTGAATATGTGTACATTGAGAGCTTGTGAACTGGATAGAAATTTCTTGTGTGTCCAATCACACTTGGCCAATAAAGATATTCTATTCTATTCTATTCTATTCTATTCTATTCTATTCTATTCTATTCTAGTCTAGTCTAGTCTAGTCTAGTCTAGTTTAGTCTAGTCTAGTCTAGTCTAGTCTATATTTTCTATTGTATTCTTATTCCTATTCCTATTTCTATTCTACTCTATTTATTATTTTATTCCATTCTGTTATATTCTACTCTATGCTACTCTATTCTATTTATTATTCTATTCTATTCCTATTCTATTCCTATTCTACTCTATTTAGGAATAGAGTAAAGTATAGAGTAGAGTATTCTACTCTATACTCTACTCTTATTCCTAAATTTATTCCTAATTTTGTTCTGTTCTATTCTATTATTATATTTTCTATTCTATTCTATTCCTATTCCTATTCCTATTCCTATTCTATTCTATTCTATTCTATTCTATTTATTATTCTATTCTATTCTGTTCTGTTCTATTCTACTTTATGCTACTCTATTCTATTCTACTCTATTCTATTTATTAGGGTTAGGGTTCTATTCTATTCCTATTCTATTCCTATTCTATTCTGTACTCTACTCTACTCCTGAATTTATTCCTAATTCTGTTCTGTTCTATTCCATTCCACTCCACTCCATTCCATGCTAAATTCCCACTTTCCTTTTTCGCAGGAAAACCTCTTAGAGGACGATTATTCTCCTGTCATGCTCTCCAAGGCTGTCAAAAACTCCAAGGAGCAGAAGATGATGGAAGCTGCTCATGTATGTAATCCACAGCAGGGACACTCATCCCCTGTGATGCAATGACCTTGAGAGTCAAGGTCCAAAAGGACCTTGGGGAATCATCTCCCACAGCTGGAAAGATTTTGAGTGTTGCATAATTGTGAAGCTCTGTGAAGCAAAGGGGCCTAAAAGCTGAAGGACAGAGAGGCAGGGAGGCGGACGTTAGAATAACGCAGTGTGAACTCATAAGGTCTCAGGGGATTTTCTGTTTTTTTTAGTTCCTTTTAAATGGGTGGCCTTAATTGCAGATATTTTGGATAGATGTGTTGCCAATTCTTTTCTCTGCAAGCTGGTTTTTCGCCATGTGCAAACAAATATATGCAGAGACCTCTTCTTCCCCATTCTGCTTTTATAAATCTCACTGAGAAGGAGAGTCAAAATGTGTGAGAGGCTTTTTTTGGTTAATGTTCTAGTTTCCACCGAACATAAAAATAGGCTTGGGAAGGCCGGGAGGCTGGAAATTGGTCCTGGAACCACACTTTAGTAGCTGTGTACACACAGAGTGTTTAACTTGGTTTTTAAATTAACCTATTTTGAAGAGGTGGGATTCTCCCAATGGACTGGATCGCACTAACCCCAAAAGCCAGATTTGCACATCAGGATAAACCATTAAAAAACCTGCAAACATTATTTCAAACTAACCGAAGCAGACTGTTGTGTAAATATAGCTCCAGGGGTTTTACTAACCCAGGGAAAGTGCTGAGAGAGCAGAACTAAAAAAATTCCCTGTTTAAATCTTATTCAGATTCCAGCAAAAATAAAAATAAAAACAAGGCACGTGTGTTTTCCTATCCAATCCTGATACTGCAACTTCTCCCCTCCTTGCTTGTTCTCCTGCTCCGGTGCAGGGTGAGTGACGTTGGCCCTTATCTGGGTTTCTCTTTGCTTTGCGTTGGCTCAGATACGCGATGCTGTGGCGCTGATCCAGTATTTGGTTTGGTTGGAAAAGAACGTGCCCAAGAACTCTGTGGATGAGGTGTCTGGAGCACATTACCTGGACACGCTACGAAGGTCAGTTTGAATGGGGTGATTTTAAGTGCTGCTAATAAGCAGAGGGGAAATAGTACAACTAGAGGATCAGCTAAAACATTAGCTGAATGAATGCACCCATTCCCCAAAATGAATGAATGAATGAATGAATGAATCTATCTATCTATCCTATCATTTATCCATCCATCCATCCATTTATCTTACCTTCTATCCATCCATCCATCCATCCATCCATCCATCCATCTATCCTACCATATATCTATCTATCTATCTATCTATCATCTTTTCTATCTATCCAACCTACCATCTATCCATCTGTCCATTCATCCATCCATCTATCTATCCTATCATCTATCTATTCTATCATCCATCCATCCATCCATCCATCCATCCATCCATCCATCCATCTATTCTATCATATCTCTTTCTCTCTCCCCCCTCTCTCTCTCATCTATCTATCTATCTATCTATCTATCTATCTATCTATCTATCTATCTATCTATCTATCATCTATCATCTATCATCATCTATCATCTCTTAGAGGCTGCTATGCAAAATTTTGTAGGTTTGTCCAAAATTGATTCCACAAATTGGTTGGCACCTTGATGCTTTGAATGGTCAACCAGAGATCTGATATTTCAAACTAGAGAACTCTCTTGAACTCATCGGATATTAAATTAATGATGCAAATCAACTAGAATATATCACATAATCCTAGTAAGAAATTGAGCTCAATTGATTCATTACCCTAAAGGATAACATGAATTATTCAAGTTTTAGCTTAGCGCGCTATGCGAACCCAGCGACTGAGAGCTAATTCAAGAAACTCTGATTGTTTTAACACAAGGTGAGGATCCAGTCACAGGATACCAGATGTTCTTTCTTTTTCCACAGGGAAGAGCTCTACTGCCAGGGGCCGAGCTTTCAGACCATCTCAGCTAGTGGCTTGAATGCGGCCTTGGCTCATTACAGGTACTGGGAGGAAGGGGCGGGGGGGGGGGGAAGGGGGAAGGTTTTAATGGAGGGTGTAGAACAGGCAAGTGTTTTGTATAGAAGCTCTTCCTTATTGAGCATATTAAACATTGGAAGAGTTCAGATTCTCAGAGGCTACTCATCTTCATGTGGTTTATATCTCAACTCTGGGAGGAAACGGAATCAGGTGGCTCTGGAACACCAGATCCCAGAGAGAAAATCCTTACCCTCCTATCCTGCTTGTAGGCTTCTGAGCAGAACCTAATAAGCTACTGGGAAAAACAGGATGTTTCCTCGAATCCCTCCAGATGCTGCTGGAGAGCAATTCCCATCTTTTCATAATTCCCCTGGTGGCTGGGACTGATGGGAGTTAGAGTTCAACAATATTTGGAGGACTATAAATTGCCCGTCCCTGCTGGATTCGTGGGATTTGTTTTGAACCGTTGGCCAGTTCAAGTCCTCTTAAGGAGCCATCAGGAAAACTATGTACTAGGATCAGTGACAATCTAGTCAGGTAGACATTCCACTCAACCAGTTTTAATCAGATGCGATGTCGATGTGTTGTAGGTATTTTGAAATCCCTTTGATACGAATTCATATTAATATATGATAGCCAAGTTTATCGTTGCTATCAGATGACATGCGTGAATCGGATGATCTTTGATCCTCTTTAGCCATGGGTCTCTTTGAAAGCAACGTAACGTTCCTTGTTTTTCTTTCAGCCCATCCAATTTTACCGCTCAAAAGCTGTCTCCCAATGAAATATACTTATTGGATTCTGGGGGCCAATATTTGTGAGTATGGCCATCAAGAGCCACCTTCTGGATCAGGGTCAGATGCCAACATTTGTTGAAAACATTTCAAAGGATCTTCCTGGCTAAGGGTTGAAATTGGGGTATACTCTGAGAACAGCTGTTTAATTATAATTTATTATGCCTCATTGAATTGATGTTGAGTCTTGGCAACCAGATAGATAAGAGTCTTCTCCAGTAGGATCTTGTCTTTTAGGTCTTCCAACCATACTCCCATACAATTGAATCCATTCACCTTGTGCTGCTTGGCATCTTCCCTTTCCTTCCTCAGCTCTTTAGCACAAAGTTGATTTTCTTTGACCAACCATCCACTTCCTCCTTGGCTGAAATTTTGAGATTGAGGGGCAGCAGAGCAGATCTATCAGAAGAACATTGTCAAAAATAAATAGTGATATTTGATCTTAACAGAGAGGAGTAAAACATAAATACACACACAAGTCATTCCTTGGAGGAACAGCAGAATACAGTTGTTAAAAATGTGTTTCAAAGGGTTCTTTTTCAGGATAGAAACAGGCAGGTATTACAAATCTACCTTTGAAAAGAAACTAGAAGCCTTCTGTTGTTAAAACCCACCCCTCTCCTAGGAAAATGAAATATTTTAGGATATACTAAAAAGGCAGAATATTTCCCCCTAAAAAGAGTAGAAACTCAGAAGCAGAAACTCACCTCAGAAGCAGAAACGCACCCCCCCACACCTTTGCTAATGGGCCATTACTCTGGCCTAGGCCGGTCTATTTTACATAACAAAGATCTACTCCAGATAGAGCTATAATAGGAATTGCCCAAAGCCCTTTCATTACATCATCATCCAGCAAGGTTCAACCAATCCTGGGACTCAGGACAGCCCACAGAGTTGCCCCTGCATGGCCCCACTGGAGCCTGACAACCAATCAGAATACAAGCTCAAATTCAAATCCCAACAGAGGGTATAAAACAATTGCACTCCCGGCATATCAGCCCTTCTTTCTTCACCCAAGGTAAAAGTTATTCCTTCAGAATCAAAGGATTTAGTTTTGAATTGCAGTATTGAAAGGACCCTGGTTAGGTACGATTTACTGTGCAACATTGGGACAATTGGTGACCATTCTTATAAAATAACCCAGCATCAGGAAAAGAAAAAAAAAACTATTTCGGATCTGCTGTAAATAATCCAGGGACCAGATACCAGACCTGGCTTTACTCAGCTCCCATCCTTTAGAAGTGCTAAAACAAAGATTTTGCTCTGGAAAGCAGTCACGGTGGCCACAGTCTCAGGATTCTCCTGGGAAAGTCTGAAGATCGGTGGCTTGCTAGCTCAGTGGAGGAAGTTCGGGCTTGAAGTACCTTCTTCCTTGTTTCTCCTTTTGTAGTGACGGAACCACAGACATCACTCGGACCATCCACTGGGGGGAGCCCACAGCTTTTCAGAAGGTAAGGCTGATTCCCAAAGACACCTGAAGTGGTACGCCTACAGTAGTATCCACTGCGGCTTTCCTCCCCCCGAAAAAATCTCCAGAAGATGCCTCACTTTTTACTTCCTCGCTGGAAGGATGTTGTTGGCTTGGAAGGTGGTTTTTTTTAAACACACTGCTATGAGCTTACTCTGGGACTAAGCTTTCAGCTGGCTTTCTCCAGGAAATGCCCTGCCCTACTCCGTGGTTACAGCCTCAACCCCTCTCAGCTTCGACCTCAAACTGTCTACCGTGGACCTCACCCTATTCCTAAGAGGTCCTTAAAGGGGGCAATGCATAAGCGTACCTTTGTGCCTACCATCCCTGGCTTACTGTCCCCATTTATCTGTATTTATTTCCTTTGTTTATGTTTATGTTCATACTTATTCTTGTTGTCTTGTACATGTTTCACAAAGAAAGAAAGAAAGAAAGAAAGAAAGAAAGAAAGAAAGAAAGAAAGAAAGAAAGAAAGAAAGAAAGAAAGAAAGAAAGAAAGGAGGGAGGGAGGGAGGGAGGGAGGGAGGGAGGGAGGGAGGGAGGGAGGAAGGAAGGAAGGAAGGAAGGAAGGAAGGAAGGAAGGAAGGAAGGAAGGAAGGAAGGAAAGAAAGAAAGAAAGAAAGAAAGAAAGAAAGAAAGAAAGAAAGAAAGAAAGATCTAACCTTCCCAAGGGAAGCAGAAGCAGTGAGGTTCCCACCACAGCATCCAATTCAGGGTCCCTGGTGAAACTAAAGGTGTCCCAGAAATCCATAATTGGCACCATGTGGGAAAAGGTACAAGCACCCACCATAAAAACAATCAAGTTTCTAGTATTTTGTCCAGCAAGGTATAGAGTAGAATATTCATGAACATGTACTGTGGTGTTTTCCAACAGCTATAGGAGAAATGCTTTTTATAAAGAGAAGAAAGGATACATTACTGATATTACCTTCAATAATGAATAATTAGAGAGATGGAGTATGGAGGTCTTGTGTGAGAGAAGTGCTACTCCAGCACAGAGATATTTATTCTGTTTAAACATATTTTAATCTGTAGCAATTGGGCTATTGTTCTGTATGTCCTTCATACAAGCCCTGCACACCAGAACAACTAGACACAAGGACAGTTTTTTCCTGAACGCCATCACTCTGCTAAACAAATAATTCCTTCAACACTGTCCAACTATTTACTAAGTATGCTCTACTATTACTATTAATCTTCTCATCACTCCTTATCACCCATCCCCTCCCACTTGTGATGTATGACCGTAACTTTGTCGCTTGTATCCTTATGATTTTTACTGACTGTTTCCTAGTATGACTGGATTGCTTATTGTACCCTAGGACTATCGTTAAGTGTTGTACCTTATGATTCTTGATGAATGTATCTTTTATGTATACTGAGAGCATTTGCACCAAGACAAATTCCTTGTGTGTCCAATCACACTTGGCCAATAAAGAATTCTATGCTATTCTAAGATTCTGTTCTATTTGCTGGAAACTGTAGTTATGTATATTCTGGGTTCATACTAAGCCAAATTCTAGGGTTACTATACATTCCACTCACCCTTTTCCTTCCAAATATGATTTCAGAACATCTTCTTTTCTTCTCTAGGAAGCCTACACAAGAGTGCTGATGGGAAATATTGACTTGAGCAGGCTAGTCTTTCCACCCAGAACGTCAGGTGAGAATTTGGGAGAGAGAGGGAAAAGAAAGCAAGGAAAACTGACATCCTTACTGGTGATTTCCCAGGTTTTCCTCTCTGGTTGTGAAGAAATCCAATAACGCTCACATTTTGGGCTTAAATATAAACCTGGATTTCCTCAAGGGGACAGAATTTGAGAGGTAATATGTAATCCACTCAAACTGATGCCAGCCTGATGGGATGCAGATGTATTCTTGAAATCCTTGGCCAGAAGGAACTGCAGCTATTTGAAGCATCTGGAAAACAGTATGTTGAAAGAAGCGGAGCTAGAATAATTATCGATGAATTTTCCCTTTTACCACACGTGTTTTGGACTGTCTTCTCTGCCTCCTAAACGTCTTAGGCTTTAGAATACTTACATGCCTTGGTTTTACTGCAACAGTCTAGAACTGCATCTCCTCCAAATTTCTACTTGGCGTAGGACAACCAGAACAACTAGACACAAGGACAGTTTTTCCCCCCAAATACCATCACTTTACTAAACACATAATTCCCTCCACACTGTCCAACTATTTACAAAGTCTGTACTACTATTACTATTAATCTTCTCATCACTCCTTATCACCCATCCCCTCCCACTTGTGACCTTAGGACTGTAACTTTGTCACTTGTATCCTTACTTATTGACTGTTTCCTAGTATGATTTGATTGCTTATTGTACCCTATGACTGTCATTAAGTGTTGTGCCTGATGATTCTTGACTCTTGATGAATGTATCTTTTCTTTTATGTACACTGAGAGCATTTGCACCAAAGACAAATTCCTTGTGTGTCCAATCACACTTGGCCAATAAAAGAATTCTAATTCTAATATTAGGAAGCTAAATAAAACAATATAAATCGTAAGGGTACTAGCCACAAAGTCATAGTCATAAGTAGAAGGAGATAGGGACTAGGAAGGATGAGGAGAATAATAGTAATACAATCTTAGTAAATAGTTTGACTGCGTTGTGGGAATTAGTTCTTTAGCAGAGTGAGGACATGGGGGGAAATTATTGTGGTGTGCAGTGCCCTATAAGATTGTTTTGACGATAGAAGTTGAAACAATTTATGTCCAGGATGTGAGAGGTCTGTAGATATTTTCACAGCCTTCTTTTTTATTTTTATTTTTAAATTATAAAGCGATAAACCTAAATAGTTTCCCTGCAGAGACTAAGGAAGGTTTTATTTTTGCATTGCAGGAAGAATGGTGGAAGCATTTGCCCGCCGGCCCTTGTGGGAAGCTGGACTGAACTATGGCCATGGCACCGGTCATGGCATCGGCAACTTCTTGTCTGTTCATGAGTGTAAGTGGCATGAAGGCCAGGTCAGACCACATACATGTCTTTGGCCGTTTGGTGACAGCAGATCTGGTGGGGAAACCACCACTGGTCAGCGTCAGCCAGGAATGGAGAAGCTGTGGCTTTCCAGGTGTTGCTACAACTGCTTTACAAGCTAGTGGGTCAGCTGAGAGTTGTACTTCTGCAGCATCTGAAGGGCTTGTTTGGTCATTTAATTATTCAATTCAATTCTAATTGGCTCAAGGGTTTCTCCAGTCCTAGAGCAACACAGTATGATTTCATGGAGAAAAGTTTGGGGCTTTTTTTATACATATGTTTACTGATAAAAGGGAATATCTGTAGCTCAGGGTTGAACTGTGTGGTCCTTTGTGTACTCTGAACTTCATCGTTTTCTTGCAGATGTTTCATTGCCTAACTAAGTAACCTCATCAGTACTAGAAGGGAGAGTGGTTTGCTGTCTGTTAGTATACAAGTGGTTTGCCCTGTCAATTAGCAACCCCATCTTCAGATAACAGATAATCAGAGTTGGAAGGGACCTTGTAGGTCATCTAGTCCTACGCCCTGCCCAAGCAGGACATCCTGCACCATTTCTGACAAATGGCAATCCAATCTCTTCTTGAAAGTCTCAACAGATGAAGCTCCCACAACTTCTAAAGACAACTTCTGTTGATTGCTCTCACTGTCACAAAATGTCTCCTTGTTTCCAGGTTGAATCTTTCCTTGGTTCAGTTTCCATCTATTCTTCCTTGTCTGGCCTTCAGGTGCCTTGGAAAGTAGCTTGATCCCCCCCTCTCTATGGCAGCCCCTCAAATATTAGAAGACTGCTATCCTGTCTCCCCTGGTCCTTCTCTTCCCTAGACTAGCCCTGCCCAATTCCTGTAACCGTTCTTCATATGTTTTAGTCGCCAATCCTCTAATCATCTTGGTTGCTCTTCTCTAGAGTTTCAACATCTTTTTTATAGTGTGGTGACCAAAACTGGATGCAGGACTCTAGGTGTGGTCTTACTAAGGCTTTATAGAGTGGTATTAGTACCTCCCTTGATCTCAATTGTATCCCTCTGTTAATGCAGCTTAGGATTGCATTAGCTTTTTTGGCTGCTGCTGCACACTGCTGGCTCCTATTTAGCTGGTTGTCCACTAAGACTCCAAGATCCCTCTCACAGCACTGATGCTGTTACCCAGTTGGGTAATGAAACATCTGCAAGAAGATAACCAAGCTCAGAGAGCACCAAGGTTCCCATACTTGGGTTTTCCAGTTTCTCACTATTCATCTCTACTTTTTGTTAAGCACATTCCCCCAAATACTTTCCTGGATGAACCAATATTCTTGGGACAACTTTGGGCTATCTGTCCCTCGGGTTCTGAAGAGTCCTTCCTTAGTGGGCTTTGCAAAGAGGGAATACATCCTTATGATTTGAGATGATGGACTCACCTTTGCAAAAGAGCCTCGTGTGATAAGAGTTCTCACCTTGTACCCAGAAAATTCCAGTTTAGGCATTAACACCTTTAGATATACTTGGAAAGATTCATCTCTAAAACTCCAAAGAAGGGAGTGAAGACCATTCAAAACTAGGTCTAGGATTATCATTTATGGGCTGGAAAAAAAAAATAAATCCAACCAGTCATTAGAAATCAGTCAAGGTTTATTGCTTTGCTGGCATCTAGTGGTAATTTGGATTTTTGTAGTTTATTGGTCCTAATTTAAGGCAATTTCCTCATAAGCTGCGTGAATGAGGTCCAATCTCATTAACTGAAATGATTGGCTTGATTGAAAGATCCACATTAATTCACTTTGAATTGTCACTTTGATCATACTATCAGGATAATTTCATTTAAAAGACCGCCTCGATCTGGATGATTCTTCTGGGGTTGCAAAAAAAA